GAGTTTTCATTCAGGAGAACCAGTCGCCTATTCCCCAAAGTCCTGGACACACACACACACACACACACACACACACACACACCACACACACACACGTTGGTCCTCCATTCCCCATTGTCTCACTACAGTACAGAACATATGGCGTGAGAGCTTTGTCACCATCCACACACACACACACACACGTTGGTCCTCCATTCCCCTTGGTCTCACTACAGTACAGACATATGGCGTAGAGCTGTACACCATCTGACCCAGATATGTGACAGCAGTGCATCCTGGGAAATACAGTGAATGCTCACTGATGTTTGGTGCAGACGTGCTCAGGATTTTTCCCCAGAATTAAGTTCAGGAGAGGAGGCGAGAGCAGACGAACGTTGTTTCAAGTTTGTCAAGTTGACAGATCTAAACATTTTGATCTTTATTTTTTTTAATGTAAGAAAAATATCTGATATTCGAATTATCAACTGATACATTTCAGCAATCCAACATAAAAATGTGGACATTTTGAATCCTTATCTTTAATATAACATCTCCACTGATTTAGTCTCCACTTTCCATAAAATGGGGGAGGTGACTTTGCCGGAAGGAGAGGACTGAATAACAAAAATTATTGTCTGCTATCCTACATTTCCCACAATGCAACTCGACATGTTTATTTATTAGATCCTCCCTGCCTGGTAAACTTCAAAACCTCCACACCTACAGTGTGAAATGACCTTTCTGTAGCTGATGACCCTGATGACATCACTGTGACATCATCAGGGTCACTTTCTCAGACATGGCGAAGCTCCTCCAGTTTTCACAGCCTGAGCAGTACTAGATGAACCTTGATGTGTGAAATCAGTGCAGTTCCCCTTTAACTGTCCTTCTCAGAGATCTCATACTCAGGAAAATGTCATTTGGTGTGGAAGGTGTTGGAGGTGTTTGTGGGACTTTACATGGATTTCTTTGATAGACAGGCTGGTTTACTCAGAGATCACACATGGATTCGGCTCTGGGC